CTGCTATCCCATTCTGTTGGGGAGTATAAGGCATAGTTTTTGGGCCTTTTAATCTCACAATCCACACACAGCTTATCCATTTCCTTATTACAGAACTCTAACCCATTATCAGTCCTAAGGGTTTTAACCTTTCTGCCAGTTTGGTTTTCAACTAGGGTTTTCCACTCCCTAAACCTCACAAACACATCAGACTTGTGTTCTAAAAGGCAAACCCACACCTTCCTAGAGAAATCATCAATGATAGAAAGGAAATATTTCCTACCCCCGTGGGTAGGAACACTGGCAGGACCCCAAACATCAGCATGAACATATTCAAGCACAGACGAACACTTAGACAGATTAGGGTAAGAGGAAGGAGGGAAGCTGACTCTATGCTGCTTACCTAACACACATGATTCACAGAAAGGCACAGAAGTCACAGAGTCCTTACCAAAATAACCAACCCTACGCATGACATCTAAACCCTTATTGCTCATATGTCCTAGCCTATGATGCCACAAAGAGGTCTTATCAGAACATACAACATTCACAGACTCAGCAAAAGGTTTAGCATGGCACACATAAAGGTTATTCACCTTCTCAGCTTTGAACAAAACAAGCGAATTCTTCAGGATTTTCATACAACCATTCCCCCATTTTCCCTGTAACCCACTACTCTCCAAAGCAGCAACAAATAACAAGTTATGACACAAATCAGGGACATGTCTCACATTCTTAATGGTAAACACAGAGCCACAAGAAAATTTCAGACATATATCACCAACACCAGAGTCAATCAACCATTCATGCTCAGACAGGGAATTTCTCACAGAATTAGCATGGTCACAAACCATCAAGATGTCACCAAGGTCACATTTATCAACAGCTACACTAGCATGCTCGGTCTTCTTAGGGTGGGGGCAATCTTTAATGAAATGGCCAGTGTTACCACAATTGTAATACACTCTCTTCCTAGATTTACTCCTCTTCCTCCCAGGCTGACTAGTGTTCTTACCCTGACTATTTTGCTTAGAGTTCTTAGACCTACCCTTAGATCTACCCCTAACAAACATAGCCTCACCGGAGTCCCTGGACTGACTAGCACTACCCCTAGCATGCTTTAGGTCTAATTCCTTACTCCTTAACCCATTCACAACAATATCTAACGAAATCTCATCCCTACCATACTTAATAGCGGACTTAACATCATTATAAGAGTCGGGAATGACATTAAGCAATACTATGGGAGTATAATCATCTATGTGTTTATCACCTGCCTGTTTGATATTCTGTATCAGTTTATTAAACACATCCAGGTTCTCATCTATATCCTTAGTCAGGTCAAGCCTAAACCTAAAGAATTTCTCTAGTAAAAACAACTTCCCGGGCAAAGAGGTATCAGTATAGAGACTATCCAATTTCTCCCACAACTCCTTAGCGGACTCAAGAATACCCACTTTCCTAAGCACAGAATAAGACAGATTCAAGTAAATAGTAGAACAAGCAGTTTCGTTCATTTCAATTTGCTTAGCCTTATCTTCTGATTCAAGGAAAATACCAGTGACAGCTCTGAAAACTTTTTGCTGTATTAACACACACTTTATTTTCTGTTTCCAAATATCAAAATCTGTTTTTCCATTAAATGGAAGCATACCATACTGATTTGCAGCCATGGTATCAACCACAAAGGAACACAAAGCTAAACAGACTGAAATGACAGAAAATAATCCAACCCGGGTTATAAAGTATTCACTTTAATAACCCCGGGCAGCATGCAACACATAGCAAAAATGGACATTTGGCAATTAAACAGTTCCGGGCAGAAAAATTAAAATTAATTAATTCTACCTCTACCACCCAATAAACCACCCCTACGCATAATAATTAAATTAAATAACACTTAGCAATTTAATTAATAAACTAAGACAATCAACCACAAAGGATAGGGTTTAGAACGTACCTGGGGGGTTGGCGGCCGGGATTAAATCAACCGGCGGCCCGCGGGGAGGGGGAAAAAATTAAATTAAATTAAATTAAAACCGGAATATAACAAATAGGAAGTTTATCGAAAACTTACCTTCGCGAAACCCTAGGAGAGCGTTTCGACCTTACCTACCCAAAATTTTTTAACAAAAAAATGGGATTTTTGACTGACTGTTGACCGGCGTTGACTGCCGTTGACCGGTGGTTGACCGGCGGTTGACTGGTTCACCTCCAACAGTCCAACAAGTCAGCAGCAGCTCTAATCCAGTCCAGCTACCAAGCTCCAGCAACAAAACAGTGGCCCAACTCCCAGCTCTCCAAGTCCAGCAATCCAGTAGCACTAGCCCAAAAGTCAGTTGTAAGTTGTAAAGTCAGCAGGTCAGCACTCCATCTCCAAGGTGTGCACCCGTCCAGCCCCCTTCGTCCTCCTCTCCAGATGCGAACCAGCGACGAACGAAGGTCGGCGAGCACCAAGGCGACCGGCGACTCCAGCGATGACTTCCGGCTGGCAACTTCCCTACGGCGAGCTTCCCTGCGGCGTCTAGCTACAGTAAAGCAGGGGCCGGTTACGTCGTTCCAGATGCGGACAGAACCAGCCCTCGTCTTCAACTTCTGCTCGAGAGAAGGAAGACCAGCTACGACCGGTGACCAATCTCCGGTGATGGATGAACTCCGGTCAGAGGACGATTTCAACCTCCAAGCGGCGAATTCCAGGCTAGCGGCGAGACTCACCGGTGAAGGAATTCCGGCGACGACGGCTACAGGGGTGGATTCGACGGCCACGAGCGGAGATTAAACCCCAATCGTTTAGGGCTGGCCGAGATTGAGAACAACTACAGACGATTCCTTTGCCACGAGCGAGCAACGAACTGGACCAGGGCAAGACCAGTCCTTCAATCGACGGCAGATGGTTGGACGGCGGCGGCGTACGGCGGCAGACGGCGAACCTCGCTCTGATACCACTGTTAGGATCGTTTCTGTCTCCGGCTCAGGTCTTTCTACACATACTCTCACACACCACACTAGGAGGAGGCTATAGCACACCTATCTCTCAACTCTCTTCTTCTAACCACAAAGGAACTCACAAAGAGGAAGAAGGAAGACACTGCTCTCTGGAAGTGTTACTCTCGCAGGCTTGATTCACAAAGAAAGGGGGGGTTGACTTCTGCCAGCCTATGGGCAGACAACAAGGACAATCACAAGATGGCCAAGGACACTCACGGGTATAAGCCAAGCCAAAAGAGAGGGTGCAGCGGACAGAAGCAATGGGGCAGATTCCAGGTATATTATTGATCAGGTAATATACCAAGGTAAAGGTGTCAAAGAGGGAGTAAATTAATAGAGCCTCAGCTAATAAAGTGGAAGGGAGGCCTTGATAGGACCAATACCTCCAACAATGTTGTCAATCTTAATAGAAATTGAGTTTTTCAACATTATTACTTCTTGACATTTTCAATTTTTCTTTTGCTTCTCATATTTCATATTTTTAATACTAAAATGTCATTTATCTGCAGGCCCTGATCCATTTTTTCGCCAATCAAACATCTTTCTCCGTCCTTTCTTTCCCAGTTCTCCTTCACTTTCTAGCACCCTAGGACATAGTCTTGCCTCTAATAACCACTTCCTATTATCCTTCAACCACCTTCGCTTCTAGCCTCTCCCAAATCAATTTCCCATTCGCTTCTAGCATACAAAACATTGGATTGTCACTACTATCCACTACTACACATTCTACTAGCAATACAAAACATTTTGTGCATGAATTTGGCAATATTGGATACTCACACCACCGACCCAGTTGAAGGACTCAATTATCATAAGCTGTAGATGTGAGGTTTCAACGAAGACCTCACTAATAATTGGTTATCCTTTTTTTTAATGGGATACAGGTTTCTTAGCAGCGGCTATAATCAATTTGAAGAATACTTTAAAAACTTGGAGGTGCGAATGTTGTCAATTTGAAGTGGTGTATCCATTCTTTCATTTTATGTTCAGGCAAGTTGTTCAAATGAGGACTGCCCTCTAAAGTGCTTAATATTTTTAGTAAAATGTAAGAATAATCAAGTCAACATTTAAGATTTCCTGAAAGTGAGATAAAGAGCATTAGTCCTTAGTTCTTATTGCTTCCATAATAGATTAAACCATCTTTATCAATTCTTTAAATGCATTTTTTTGTCTTAAAACCTGCTTTTTTTATAATCTACTATCTTAACAATATATATTAGTTCATTTTACTTAGAGCATCTCTAATGGTAAAATATGCACGGTGCACACGTGGCATGAAAAATAGTCACATAAATATTAGTAAATAAATTCTTTCTCTCCTTATTTGAATGATTTTATACAGTTTTGATAAGTTTTTCTCTACAATGTCAAGGAGACCGTCTAGATGTTGACATTGTTGTTGACATTGCAGGGAAAAACTTACCAAAATGGTATAAAATTATTCAAAAAAGGAGAGAGATGATTTATTTGCTACTCCCTCCGTCCCTTTAAGTTTGTCCCGTTTTACCTTTTTCATCCGTCCCACTAAGTTTGTCTCATACCATATTTGGTAACATTTGAGTGGTTAGAATTCATTCTTACTTTATTTACACTTTATCAATTCAATACCAACCACACAATTCCACTTTTTCTTAAAAACCACACCACACCCCTCCGTCCCAAACTTAAGGGGACGGAGGGAGTAATATTTATGTGGCTATCACTCATGCCACATGTGCACCGTGCACATTATAACATTGAAGATGCTCTTACAATGATAAGGTATGAAGATAAGGAGGTAACCTTTTGTGAAGATACCAAGCATTCCATATTTCCATGACATACATTTCCTCATTTTTTGATTGCTAATATACTTATATGTAGCAAGCAATTTTCTTTTATTATGAGAGTTTAGCATTACATACTTTGCAATGTCATTTGCAACTTTTAATTTGAAAATGTAATAGCTTTTCTGTTTACACTTGTGTATTCTTCTATTGTGGTACATAAAGAGACTATTGTGGTGGTTCTTATCCAATTTCTGAGTGATCACATGTTCAGTCATCTATATGCGATCTCTTCTTGAAAATAATCTTATCAAATTTAAGGAGTGGGGTCAGAAAGGGGGAAAGGATGAAGAAACAGGAAAGAAAGAAGAGAAGGAGAAAGAAATGGAGAAATGGGAAAGAAAGAAGAAAGAGGGATCGGAAGGAAGGAAGACAGGAAAGAAAGATGAAGAAAGAAGCTTGATCCATTCATTTGAATATCGGGCATCGCATAAACCCCTACGGAGGCTACAGAATCTACAGTTAAAGATGGAGCTGATCCGGCGGAAGTGCAAGGTGATGTCACACAGGCTTGATGATGGAGAACGATAAGCGGTTGGATGAAATGCGAGTGAAACATTGACCGCAAAAGCTAACATATTCCCCAAAGATGCTAAAAAGCCAAGTGCTTTGTTGGTTGAGCTCAATAAAACAGGTACATACTGCACTAGGGAAATGGCTTTAACCAAATATGTGGCATCCTCCAACGGGGTTCGGGATCATCTTTAGAGAGAGGATCAGTAACTCAGTAAGTGGTGCAAATCGGAAGGAGTTGGCAGCAAAACCTGATGTTGACAGTAGGGGTGGAAACAGGCTAGGCCAGGCTTTCGCCTAAACAGATCGGGCCTGTTTTAGAATATATAGGCCTGAGCCTGACCTGTTACCTGTTAAAGGCCTGTTTTTACGGCCTGGCCCTGGCCTGTTTAAAAACCTGACCTGGTCTGAAGCCTGTTTAACGGGTCTGTTAAGAAAAAAAGTAAAATTTCAAAAAAAAAATACAAAATGAAAAGTGAAAAATCCTTTTAATCCGGTATAAAATTTATTACCCCAAATATTCACTAAAAAGTCTAAAGTTTTGCTTTGGGTGTCTAATAATACATTATTAAGGAGTATTATTATGTAGTTTATAAATTATAAATTTCTATATACTTTGAATCTTGAAAAACTTTGAATTTCAATTACCTTAATAAACTATTAACACACTTTATATATATTTAAAAAAGTAGTCTATTCTAATTTATAGTACACACTCCCTAAAAATACTACACCCTCCGGTTCACATTCTTCTTTACACTTTCCTTTTTTGTCAGTACCACATTCTTCTTTACACTTCCTTATTTGCCTTATTTGGCAAACAAATCTACATAAAACAGTGTCAAACAGTGTCCAAACAGTGTACTCTACAGTAAAGTCAAATTTATTTTCTTAAAACATGTGAAGTCAAAGTGTCAAGGAGATTATGAACCGAAGGGAGCATTATACTGATTTGAATATAGTTGAGTATACCAATATAAATATAAATAATACAAATAAATATAAATATAACTAAATATATACACATACATATATATACACATATAAATATGCCGGCCTGTTAAGGTAAAAAGGCTTTAGAGTTGGACTAAGTCTGACCTATTTAAATAAATGGGCTTTTAGAAAAGCTCAAGCCTAGCTTGATTACTAAACAGGCCAGGCCACAAGCCCTTGACAGGCCGACCCTATTTCCACCCCTAGTTGATAGGTTTCTGGTTAGACTAGGGGTAGACCCGGGCCGGGCCTGGGTCCGTCCGGGATTTTTTTTGGGGAAGGGGGAACTGGAACCAGCCCAAGAGTCTATCGGTTCCGGGCCGGGGGCCGATTCAATTTTTTTTTGCTTTCTTATTTATTTCAACCCCCGGTCCCGAGCCAAGCGGCCCAAACTGAGTCCATCCCTAGGTGGGAGGAGCTTCTATGAAGCCGGAGTTCATTGACATTTTCAAGTCCACTGAAGTAGAGAAAAATGTATGAGAACGATACCATTTACCATTTAAAGTAATGGTTTTGCTATAGTTGACTTCTAACTTAGTGAGGTTTTTAAAGTCTTGATTTGGTGATTCTAGTGGTGGACCGGGCCCAGTTTAGTTATGGTTCGGGCCTAGGCCTAGCTGGGCCTTTAAGCTTTCGGGTAAGGCCCAGGACTGGGCCGATAGGCTACTAGTTCTGGGCCGGTTTTGTGTCAGGCCGGTTCCAGATTTTTTTTTGTGTGTTTTATTATTTATTTCAACTCCTACCCCCCAACCCCTCGGAATCACCCAGCCCACCTAAACCCAGCCCAAACCCAAAAAAAAGAGGCCCGAACCAACCGGGCCGGTTCGCTATTTTGCTACCCCAGGACCGCCCTTGATATGCTCTCCAGGACGTACCTAGGCCCGATACCGGTCTTCCAGGCCAGTCCTGCACAGTAGCAAGCCGGGCCGGTTTCTGGGCCAGTCGGACCGGGTCCATGACTAGGTGATTCTGTATGAACAATAAGCCAGCTTTTTTTTTATGTTTCTTATGTTGGCATATGGAAGATTGAATTAGTAAACAATGAATAAGATTCCTGAAAGAGGACCGCCCTCATGCGAAAAAAACCTAGGAGTGGCGGTCAGCGATTTCTCAATCTAGGTCGGCGTCTAGAACAGACTACAAAATGAGCTAGCATATGGGAAGGGGAAGGCTGACTAATCGTTGTCACACTTTCATTACATAGTTCAACTGATAAAACGTGGGCAGTACAACTGGCATGGTGGTTAACATTAGAACAGGCATTGGATCAGGTCTTTCTGCCGCCCTGAATAAGAAAACCAGTAAATTTAAAATTAGGTCTAATTGAGAGATGATATTTTGATAATAAACAAAACTGAATAAATTGAAATGACAATACAAAGATCAGAGCACCTGTGATGTTTTCTTTTTTTGATCCGCAAGGGCTTTTTGTAGTCTCTCATCAAACTTCAGGCGATCATCTTTCAACTTCTTATAGAGATCTTTTTCATCCGAGCTCAAGAGCTCCCAACATCTCTGCGCAACAACGTACACAGGAGTACTACCTATCTCAGTGATCTCCTGAGCATATTTTTCCTCGAAGTCCCTCCTACGAGGAAAATAAATCATAAAATCAAATCAGTGTGCTGACATGAGTTAATACTTACGAATAACAGTCAAAGGGTTTAATTTTCCATTTATAATATATACAATGACATGAGTTAATACTTACCAATAGCAGTCAAAGGGTTTAGTTTGCGGAGTAGAGAGCTTTAGCCTCTTGATTGTATCTTTGGCGATAGAATGAAGCTCATTGGCCAAAGCACTGTATTTCCTTATGTCGTTCTTACTCAAAAGAACGAACTTTGTCAACACATCCACATTTTCCCCCCCATTGTATTTCATGAAAAGATCTCATCCTGAGCACTTATACCATTCAGCACAGCAGATTTGTTCTGCTTCCTTTATCCTCCTAAGAGTCAAAATACATAAGCAGAAAAGTCTATTTAACACATAACTGCAATGATCTAACAACAGAAAATGCATAAACAACAGAAGCTTACTTCAAATTATCATCCACGCTTTCTATATTAGCTGCTTCATCCACTGATTTGGATGAATCTCCGGAATCCGGAGATATCTCTATAACTTGAGACAATGGTTCCATAGCTCTGGATGAATAAGAAAAAAACGAACAGATTTAAAAGGAGTTCATAAATGTAAAATAGGGTACGGTCAGTGTTTTAAAAGGCCTAGAAAGGAGCCGCCTAAGCGAGCCTAGGCCCAAGGCGCAACTAAGAAGCCCCGCATACCTTCCATGCGTGAACGAAGGCGGCCAATTATCTTTATATATATATAAGCTGGATCGTCTGGGGCATAACTGTTCCCGCTCAAGCATATGACCTCAGGGGCGGAGCCAGGACACTGGGCCGGTACAAAGAATATTTTTGAAAAAAAATTACTCGGATTTTTTTACCCTAAAAATTTAGACATTTTTAAAATTTGGGCTGGGCCATGGCCAGGGATGGCCACCCCTGTCTACGCTCCTGTATGACCTCATAGTTATGTAATGACGATGTCATCATCCGTAAAAGCTTTGTTTCCACGTTTAATTAGTATGCACATTTTTCACACAGTTGCAATGCTGATGTAAACATTCAAATAATATTGTTTACAGTTGTAATATGTAGAAATATATTTTGATAATTGTTGGACCCATTTGGGCCCGTCTAGATTATTTTATTAAGTTCATGTAATTACCATTAGGTGTACTTATTTTGGGCCGTGTACCTAGGGTAGATATTAAACATGTATATATACGTGTAACTTGAGTAATGAGAAGGGAGGAAAATCGTTCCTATTACTGTGCCTAAACTTATTATGGTATCAGAGCTCAAGGCATATGGTTTTCTTCAGTCCTATTCTGATTACTCTCTTTTCACTTTCCGACGTGGTGAAATTAAATTAAATGTGCTGGTTTATGTGGATGATTTGATAATTGCTGGTAACAATTCTACAGCCTTATCCCGTTTTAAACAATATTTGCACACCTGCTTCCACATGAAGGATCTCGGCATTCTCAAGGGTTTACAAGGGTCGGGTTCCGTGCTTGGGGGCTGAGGGGCAACGGATTTTGTATGATCGAAGCCCCGACGCTCCCTCTTCTCGGTCAAGGCGGGGAGAAGACTCTCGTATGGCCCAAATGCAGCGTGAACTGGAGGAGCACGAACGGCGATGGAAGGAGCATCGGAAAAGAGAGGAAGAAACAAAAGCCCGGCTGGAGGAGATGGAACGGTTCATGCGTGCCGGATTCCAGCCTCCGCACCAGCCTTTTCCTCCCCCGTACGTATTCCACCCTGAGCAAACTCCTCAAGTTCCGCACATGGGCGGTATGGGTTTTTTCCCCAACTCCGGATACGGTGGCATGCCTATGATCTCCTCGAATTTCGGATCTATGTCCTTTGATTTTGCGAGGTCATCCGGAGGAGGTAGTGGTACACCAAGCCATGGACCCCGAGGAGCACCCCGAGGAGGACCCCGAGGAGGAACCCTACCCGATGACCCCGTTCAGCTGCCCGAAGACCCCCCCGTGAACCCAGATGAGTTTCTTGTCGATGATTATGATGATGAAGAAGAAAATCCTAATTTTTTTCATAATGGAGTCCGACGAACGGACATGTAATCATCATACATTTATACTTTGTTGTATTTCATAACATTTAAAAGTTTGTCATAATATTTATTAAGTTTGTTGTATGTCTTTACTCTTTAAAATGTAATTTTTTCTTTAAAAAATTAGAATAATATTTTCAATAACAAAATTTTCAAAAACATTTTTAAATTTAATTTGTAAAAATACGTATAAAAAAAGTAAATTTTTAAAAACATTTTTTTTAAAAAAACTGGAAATTATTTTTTTAAAAAACAAAAATAGTAGTCACGGCCTTATCCGTGACTACAGTTAATCCGAAATTATTATTTGTTTTTATTTAAAAACATTTTTTTTTAAAAAAAAACCTTAGTCACGGTCGACAACCGTGACTAATTTCAAAATTTAGATTACAACCGCAGGCGGTCTTTTGAAAATTTTGAAAATTTGAAACTTTAGTCACGGTCTACAGCCGTGACTAATATTTATTAAAAAAATAAAATTGTCACGGTCAACAGCCGTGACTAGCACGTCAGAGTGGGGTTTCCGGCATGATAATAGTCACGGCCGCCGACCGTGACTAACCCGTGACTACATTTAGTCACGGTTATGTGGCGGTGACTTCATTTAGTCACGCCCATTAAGTCACGGAATTAGTCACGGCCAAAGACCGTGACTAACTCATTTAGTCACGAAATTTTTGAACTGGCGTCCGTGACTACATCCGTGACTACGCGCGTTTTTTTTGTAGTGGTAAATTAGTTGAGTTTCTCTCATATAATTGGTGGAGAAACAGAATCGGAGTAAAATGTGATCTTTTATCTTCCAATTGTGCTTTTAGTTGAGAACGAAAAAGCATTTAAATCCAAATAATCTATTTTGTTGAACTGAATGTCCATATTTACAAGGGATGGGAGTATCAATCTTCTTTTTGCGCCCTTTACTAGAAATCAAGTCATACTTATACACCACTACATCCGGAAAGTAAGTTTCCATATTTCTATTGTTGGAATGATGGATGTCTTTAAAAGTTGCCCTACTTCTAATTATAGTAACAATTCTTACTTAATGGAAGTGTTAGTAATGGAAGTATTAGTAAGTGTTAGTAAGGGCCCGGAAGGGAAGAGAAGTGTAAGTGTTAAATATAATTTTACCTTGTTTGGGAGAGTCAAATGAATGAAGTGTTAATAATGGAAGTGTTAGCAATTTTATCTTTAAGACAAAAGAAACGAGTAAGAAGAGAAGATGAAAAAGGCAGACCATCAGACTTGCGGTAAAGATATTCGAAGTGAGATGTTGAAGCATTTTATGTTTTTACTTTTTAGGGTAAATGAGAAGGGTAACAATTGTCCAACACCTAAAAACACTCCAAATCGGGGTGTTAAAAAAGTGGACAATTGAGGTGTTGTGAAGGTTATTATTAACACTTCCTAACCTTTACTAACACTTCTTAACACCTCTTAATTTTTCTCCCAAACAAGTGTTAGTATCAACACTTAATAACACTTCCTTTACTAACACTCCTCAACACTCAATCCAAATAGGCTTAAGTTTAGGGCATGTACTAAGGGCTACTAATGTTGGATAAAGGAAGTTTATAACAATGGCAATTGCAGGCTGGTCCGGTCTTAACAATTGCTACTCTTAACTAAGGGCTACTAATGTTGGATATACGTGGGCAAGATTGATCTTTTTGTATTCTTTTTAGATCCGATTTCACATGTCTAAGTCATGTTAGCTGACCTTAAACTCTTTTTGGGACTAAAGCTTGGATGTTGTTGTTGTATATTTATTTATCAATCATACCTGTTTGTTACTTTTATGGGTCTTGCCAGCTTCTCCTTCATGGTGCTGCATAGCAGTTGTTTTATGTTAAAATAAATGTATGCCTTTTTTTTGCTGAAAATAGTGCTAGGAAGGGGTTGCTGGCTTCACTGAAATGGTGCACTAACCAAAGGCTTTTCAGTTCAATATCCTCAAACTGGTCTGAACAAACCAAATTAAAACTTCAAGGTAGGGGAAGTGAAGTATGTGCCATTGCTTCTGACTTTTGAGCCCTTCATTGTGGTTGCAATCCCCTACTTTAGGCCGACCTTAAGATAGATAGCCAAATCTTGATAAGTATATGTCATTAATGATCTTACGTGTAATTGATTCACAACTTAAATGACCCTGGAGGCCTGGACCAATATGACAACTTAAATTCGGCTTGTTTTCTGGCTCTTTTGTTCTCTATAGTGTGAGGTGATGTGTTTTAGTATGCATGGGTGAGTTTATGGAGATTTCCTATTGAATAGATATTGGACTTACTGATGTCTTATCAGAATAAATTGCATGTTGAGTGTTGACCTAAAGATACATTTTCACAGAAATGTGGCTTTGGGAGAGGAATGGGCACCTTAGTTTATTGTAGGAAGAGGAAAATAGAGGCAAGAAAAGCTCTTGAAGAATGCTGCTTGGTTGGGGGGGGGGGGGGGAATTGGGAAGACTTAGATTCAAATATCCTTACAAAAATATTTTCTCTAGTTGATGCGGAAGAGTTGTTCTGGAATGTGTCTGCTGTCTGTCAATCATGGGAGGCAGCATGTTGGGATTTGTTGTTTTGGAGCCGTGATGTTCTTGACCTCAGCGCAACAGGAGCTGGGTTTGGGGGCGTTGTCAATTTAGTGGAATTGAGATCAATGAAGCATTCTTCAGGGAGTTCAGGCCCTTTTCTTGGAGGATTAGAGTCACCCGAAAAGTATAATCAAATGGCTAGGACTTTGATGAGAAAGCTAAAGAGGATATTTGAACAGGAGAATTGTATTCATGGATGTTCCCTGCAAAGTTGGAGACTTACAATTCAGACCCTTATCCTGCCTTATGATCTGGAAATTTCAGACAAGCATCTTTTGCATATTGCTCAGAGGTGAATAATCTCTTTTCCTTTTTCATTTAGTGTGTCCCTTATCCTGCCTTACAATTCAATCCCTTATCCGGCCTTCTGGTCATATATGATACATCTTGCTGAAACTTACTTTCAGTTCTCTCAAGTTCTATTGAGCTGAGAGCTCAGAGCATGCAAGTTTAATAAAATAAAATAAAAATTGTGACCATGATTATTATGTACTGTATAGTATTTGAGTGTGTTATAATATGTTTTTTTAAAAAGAATTATTACCTCCGTCCCAAAATTTTTGGCCATTTCTTAAAATTTAAACTTTGATTTTGATTAGGATAGTATTATCAAAAGTTATAAATTGCATACTTTTATGGAAGTGCTTTTAACACAAAACATTATGAGATAATTTTTATACGATAGTATATTATAAATAACCTTCAATAAAAATGTATAGTTGGTCAATGTTTTAAAGTTTGCCAAATATTTTGGGATGGAGGTACTAGTAAAAAACTAAAAAAATGTAGTTTATTTCAGCAACATTGAAGTTTAAAAGGGCTGGGCCTTCTTCAGTTCAAGGTTTACCATCTTTTCTTCATGTGCTGGATATAAATGGTTGAAATTTTTTAATCCATCCGTGTTCCTTGGTGCAGAACACCATGCCTCAAAAATTTATTTAATTATTTCTCTTGGATGCCTCAAGGATAACTGTTAAAGGCTTATCTAAGGCCATGCGGAACTGGAATCTTGTGACAGAAATGCATCTTGGACGGTTTAATGCTACTGGTCGTTATAAGCAATTCATTGAAAAGATCGGAAGAAGTTGCCAAGAACTTGAATCCCTTCATATACATGAACGTGATTTAGCAGTTGACAAAGGCATTGTGACTGCGATCTCCAAGCTCTTGCCGAGGCTAAAGAAACTGGAATTTGAAAGTGTCAATATGTATCCGTCTGCTATAGAGGCATTATTTCAATTGGAGGAGGTGCATTTTCAGGAGTGCAATAAGGTACATGCTTATGAGGCCCTACCGGCCACTTCGCGGATTCAACATAAGCCTAATGGTTGTCTGAGTTTTTATTTGAACTGGACTGTTGATGGCAGAGGGCGTGCAAACTGGGAAGTTAGACCCCTTTGATTTCGGTGAGTGGTGGGCAAGCAAGTTGAAGGAAGTCTTTAATGAGTGGCTTCTAGAGTCTGTTCGGAGTCTTGCAGAGTGATCAATGGATTACCTGTACTCCGTTTTGTTTTCATGGGGTTTTATTATGTGAAACTAGTGTTTAACGGTTTAACCAGGGTGTTAGAATAATTAAAGTACTATCATGTGTTTCATATAAAATATCACGCAATCCCAGTCCTATGATGGTATGACCATCTCACCCCTACTCAAAGCCCATAATAATAAATTAATCTGCCTCAAATCTATCTAGTCACAGACACACAGAGATAAAACCTAAGCATTAGAGACCCTCCAACTCAGAAAGTTAAATACTTACAATGACACCAAAGGTCCAGCTCTTTACCATTTCATACCCTCATACTCCCTCCTCTCCGTACACAATGGACAAAAAATAACTTTCAAGCACATACTCCGTATTTATTACTTTCAATGGAAGTCACCAAGTTTATGTAATGACGAAATAAAGAAAATTAACAAAGGAGTAAAGGGTCAGTTTGGTCCTCGAAGTTGCAAAAAAGGGGTCAAATAAGTCCTTATATAGAAGATTCTGTCCGGACGTGTCATTTGAGGTGGCTCCCGTTAGAATTTTTTGATGAAATTTTTTGAGCATCTTATTCATTAATTCTAGTTTACTCATACCAAATTTCAGCTAAAAATTCAATCGGGGAGACATTCAAATGAATTCTTGAAGATAACTGCGCTTTTAACGGACAGTTATCTTCAAGAATTCATTTGAATGTCTTCCCGATTGAATTTTTATCTGAAATTTGGTATGAGTAAACTAGACTTAATTAATAAGATGCTCAAAAAAATTCATCAAAAAATTCCACCGGGAGCCACCTCAAATGGCACGTCCGGACAGAATTTTCTATATAAAGACTTATTTGACCCTTTTTTTGCAACTTCGAGGACCAAACTGACCCTTATCCCATTAACAAAGTATTATGGGAGAGTATTATATTTGCATGTACAAACAAATACTAATTATAGTTCTAAACATGGTTACACATGAACTGGTTGATCTAGGTAGGGATTTTTTTAGTCGAACCCCAAAACCACCCACACAATTTTCTAACACAAGAACACAACGGGATCACCTTGGCCCTTATGTATAAAGTTCAAAAACGTGGATGCTTTTGGGTGGGGTCTGATCCATTTACTTTGATCATAGATTCATAACAGTCAAAACACAAGCCAATGTTAGGGAGAGTGCAAAACATTAATTCAAACAAATTAGACAAAAGATCACATTGATGAGGCTTTCTCTAGTCTGCTTTCCAGAAATCATTTTTATATGGCCGCCCGGGTTTCCCTTTTGAGGATGTCCCCATGACTTTCCTTGGAAACACATCATCAATGACCCGGAAAATGCGGACGTCAAACACGCACAAACTGCTGCTTTCACTCACCAGGTTGAACAGACACACGTCATCTATCTCAAGTGAGTTCTCTAGCACAAAGTACTTCCAACCAGCACCAGACACCCCATGACCACTAGTTGCTTTCCGAAAATAGGCTTTCGCCATCCACGTTTTCTCCTTCATTCGCAAGCACACGTCAAAGTTTTTCTGAGGAAGATGCTTCCTTGACCAGTCAACCGGGATTGACTGCACATCATTTCACAAGAAAATAAAGATTAGGCCCCATTAGGCCGAAATGAAAGCACCAGATGGATTCTGTCGAAGGAGGAGAGTTTTTGGTAAGATTCACTTTGGTGAAGTATTCAGGGCGAAAGCTACAAAGTGCCCGGTTGGAGATCGGTGAAATAGCTAAATTGACTGAATGGATTGATTTAAAAATGTTTGGTGATTTATTTCCTTAAAATGATTGATTGGATGTGTAATTGCTTGAAGGGGACACATTTGTCATTTCATGATGAAAATAAGAACTGGCCTACAAAGTGGCAATAAGTCGATTTTTTGGTGAAAAACCGAATCAGCTGAATCTGTCGCATGTTGGGTATTTGATGATTTTTTGGAATCTTTTCAGGCTTATAAGCCCTTTTAGTTTTAGACATACCAAACATGTTTTGATAACATATTTTTAGCCAATTTAAGACTTACATAATGGGTTTCAACATTTTAAAGACAAGAAATGGATGGATTTTCTTAATTTACAAAAAAAAAAACATACCATATAGAAGCCCTTGTGTACATGGTATTCTCTCATAACCACAGTGAGGCTATCATCAGAGGCAGCTGAAGAAGCTGCTTGTATAGCCTTGTCTTACTCTTCTTCAGTCACTGCTCTTCTGTTTGACTCCCATCGAAGAGGTGACACATTTGACGATGGACCACTTCTATCTACGGTATTGTATAAACATTCCATCAACATAGTACATACCCAAGAATGAGCCATCAAAAGATAAAGAGTAAATAAAAAGAAAATCTATTATATGTGATTAAAACATTCATAGATTCCTAACACTTCGTATATGACTAGCAAACTTAAAGATGTCTTTATATGAGTAATAATTAAATTGGAGGGAGAAAAAGTGGCATCAAAACATGTACAGTATATGCAAACACCATTACTTTAGGCATAAAAACTTTTCAGTCATATTTTAGGAATTACCATCACTTTTAGTCACACTTCTGATAATATTCTCTAAATAAATGTGAGATGAAGAGTAGATTTAATGTGTTGTATGGTATGCAGGGGCGGATCCATCTTATATTTAATGGGGGCACATGCCCCCAATGACTTTCCACTTTTTAGTAAAATTTTATTGTATTTTAAATATTTATTTATACAAATGAATTGGTGCCCCAATAGAAATAAGGGAGGCACCCAATATACGAAGTATGTGGGACGGTCAACAACTCAACACTTCTTGTTACCTTCTTAATTGATAATTACATTTTTATGAATCCATTATCAGTTATTTATCTTTTTGTGGATTAGAGTTTTCAAAATTTAATTTGTAGAATTTCCTTATAATTTAACTTTGTGTGTTTTAAATGAGTTCGGTAGCATTCGTTGACAATTTAGTGGTGTGAGTTTGAGTTTTATTTTAAGGGGAATGTATACTACTTTATTTTGTAGAATTAGAATATGAGGAAGTGGCTTGGTGCAATTATTAGGAAAATGAAAATTGTATGATCATTATTATTGAATTAATAAAGTGTTAATAAAGTAATACTCGTAATAAATTGTGTTCATCAAATATTACCAAAAATGTTATTAGAAAACATTAACGAAACAGACAAGAAAATTAAAATTGGTCAAAGGTGAAGGACGACATAGGTATTTTTTAAATTATTGATTTTACCCGTTGCAACCCCTGCAGTAAAAGGAAACTTTTCTGCGTTAACATTGTTAAATCAAGTTTGCACAATAAATTAACGACCATATTTGAATGATTATTTCAAAACAGAAAACTCATACATAACAATTTGTATGAAAATTTAATATTTTCTATTTTGCTGATATTTGGTTATTTTATTGTTTAAAGTTAATTTCATATATATTTAATTCAAAATTTTCCTCTTTTCAAAAAAAAAAATCAAAATTTTCCTAAACTTTCTTTATTGGTGCCCCCAATAGTTATAATTTCTAGATCCGCCCCTGATGGTATGAGAGACATAACAGAGAAAAAGAAGTGGAAAGATGGGTTCAGAACAAAGAGACCAGTCATTGAAGTTGCATGTGAACAATAGGTTGACTAACACCCACTCGAAAAGTGGAAGAACCCCAATTGTTTTTTCTTTCTTCCCAACTTCTACCTTATTCCAAAAAAAGAGAAACTCTCCTCATTCTCTTTCCTATTTCTACTCCACAAACTACCTTAAATTTCAAACAACCAACCTCAATGAGCTGGGATTAAGGAGACATACCGACAGATTTCTTCTTTAGCTTCCCGCTTGATTGATGATTCTCTTTAGGAGACGTGCCATCCTTCCTTGGCCTTTTCACAACCTTCCTTTCGTCCTCCTCCTGTGCTGATTCATTGCTTGTCGACTCAAGATAGATGGTTCGAGCTCGAGGGGTAGTTTTTTCAGTTTTATCGGCTCCAGTGAGTTCCTTGTGTGCACATTGTTTTACAAAATATGAAGCCTCTTTCTCACATAAGCTCAGCTGGTCAAACATGAAAACATCGAACTGCAGGTTCCCATTGTATTTGAAAACCAAGACATCATTTTTTTGGAGGGAATGTTCTCGCACAAATTTTTTCCAACCACGCTTAAGGTAAAGGCTCTCGCCGTCTGATGCCAATCCCACTTCCCAAACAGAACCACTCGGTCCTTTGAGGCGGACAGTGCCTGCTAGTTTTCCTCGTAGATTTTCAGAAAATTTCTTCGGAATAGCCTGCAATGATTTGTAGTTCTACTTTTAGCATGTACTCTGCATTATTTTATATGTAGTACGTCTAATAACAGACAAGATGATAAAGAAAAAACATGGGGTAAAATAAAGGTTCACTCTGTAATTAGCATCGCCTTAATTGCATAAGGAACACTCTGCACTAACCACTCTATATTCAAAATGAATCTTTTTAATGATAACTTGATTTTCTAATCAACTTATCATATTTTGTGCTAATTCATTAAGGTTTTGAGTTCAGAGCCATCACCATCAAATTTAAATTTCGATTATTTTCTCACAATCCTAATTATCTGTTTATTTATTTTGATGCATTATTTTTAACAAAGAAAGAGATTTACAACAATTTCTATTCCTGCTGCTTCAATAAAATTTCTAGAAATGTTTTCTGACTGGTTAGAATACAACACAATTACACAAGTACATCACACAATCTACTAATGTTTCACCATATTCAAGCAAAGCGAAAACATCAAAATTCAAAACACAGCCATCTGAGATTTAATATATGCTAAACATTGACCTTAAGTGTTAACGTATACAGTTAAATCTTCTCCTCTTAATTGTTTCCTTTCATCTTCCTTCTCATCCAAACAATAATTTTATAATCATAAACCTACCCTCATCATGTCCAGAGAACATATGTTGAACCTCATTTTTCAATATCTGGTTTTCATTACATAGTTTGATGCTTTACAAAATCACATTTCATCCAAAACAGAAGGTTTTAATTAAAGAAAAACAAATATCCATTGCATTTACTAGAGCAAGAACTAGAACAACAACAACATTGCCCCAATGCCACAAAGGCTCCCACTTACAGTCCGGTACGGGGGTCAGATGTACGTAGCCATACTACCCCGACCCCTGTACTAAAGGGGGGAGACTTGTTTTTGGATGACCCATGATAGA